TGCACAGTGCAGAAAGAACATTATAAATGCCTGCGAGAGCCGCTGACAGGACCGCAGTAACTGGGGATTTTCCTCCTTGCATTGTGAAGAGGCGAGTAGATTAATATTAGCAAGTTGATTTTTTTTTTTTTTTTGACAGGCAGAGTGGACAGTGAGAGAGAGAGAGACAGAGAGAAAGGTCTTCCTTTGCCGTTGGTTCACCCTCCAATGGCCGCCGCAGCCGGCACACCGTACTGATCCGAAGCCAGGAGCCAGGTGCTTCTCCTGGTCTCCCATGGGGTGCAGGGCCCAAGCACTTGGGCCATCCTCCACTGCACTCCTGGGCCACAGCAGAGAGCTGGCCTGGAAGAGGGGCAACCGGGACAGAATCCGGCGCCCCGACCGGGACTAGAACCCGGTGTGCCAGCGCCTCAAGGCGGAGGATTAGCCTAGTGAGCCGCAGCGCCGGCGGCAAGCTGATCTTGCTAGTGGCAGCAAATTCCTCCCTTGAGGTCAGGCGTAGGAGATGGTCACATCGTGTTGGGCAGAAGCGTCCTGTGCTGCTCTGCTCGTTTGGAAGTTAAACCTTCTGCAACAGTCCAGCCACAGGGCCGGACTTCGCTGTGTTGCTTGCTGGTAATTCAGCCCCATTTCCCCGTCTCTCATCTCTCCTCCAAGTACATCTTCCACAATCTTGGCCTGCAGGATTCTGGGATAGGATCCTGGAAGGCCAAGGACGTGTGAGATCTGGAAGGCAGAAACAAAGCGACAGCCATGTGCCCGCACCTCCGGCACTGGCGGGCACATCCGGGGGCTTCGGCACGTGCGAGGCATGTCCTAGCAGCTTCCACTTGTTTTCCTTGAAGACTTCCTTTGGGAGCCTCAGCAACCCCAATCCACCTGTGTCTCCTGTGAGGAAGAAACCCTCGGGGTTTCCACTGCATCCAGTTAAACATAATTCGGATCCCATTTATATACAGCACGACAGTTTCCCTTTATGACATGAGTACATATGCAAACACATCTGCACAGACAAACGTCTTCCAGGAACAGCACTTGAGCAATAATGCACCACTGATTCCGGTTTGAACGTCGGATATCATCCGATAACGCACTTCACTCTGATTTGTGCCAAAGCTACCGATTCACTGAAAATGAGAGCTGTAATGATTCTTGTATAACGGCTGAGGGTCTATTAGCCGCGTGTAATTCAGCGATGGCATTTATCCAGGTAGATAACATAATTTAAGTGCTTTCTGGGGCAGAGCTGAGAGACTTAAAACATGGTTAACACATACGTTCAACAGTCTGTAAATTACAGCTCCTTAAGCCAACTGTTGATAAAGGTTTTGTGATGTAATTACCTAAGTTTCTGTACTGCCTGTTGGTTATTGTTGATTGACTTCAAAGTTGGGTACATTCTGATGTGAACATTTAGGAGCCAGGACTGTTTCAGAATCCTGTTTCGCTACTGACTTTCTGGGTTTTATCTTCTCGCTTTTACCACAGAGCAGATCATAGGCTCTTAAGAAACAGGACGTGAATTCAGAAAGACACGAAGAGGTAAGAAGACACATTCAAGACTTACTGATGGCATTTAGCATACAGGGATCTACACAAAGCAGGCAAACACAAGGCAAAGAGACTGTCGCCTCATTAATGAGGTTCAAGAGGTAGCACAGGGCAGTATCAGGAGTCCATGGCTTCAAACCCCAGCAGACAAGTTAGGCAGCTCCTCCTCTGTGCCTCAGTTTCCTTATCTGTAAAACAAGGATATTTCCCTCATGGGGATAATTTGAAATGATTAAATAAGTTACAATCAGCGAAGTGTCTTATACATGGTAAATATATGTTTACTATTGTCACTGCATTCTATGTAGTTGCTGGAATGCAACTCCTTATGTTAATGACGTTAAGATTCTGGGAAAATTGACAGAGATGTCTGGCCTTTGTGAAGGGAGTATGTTCACGCAGTCAGCTGCACTCAATGCCATCACAGGAAATGAAACTTCCGTAATTATAATCACTTAGTTTAGAGCCACATGTAATAAAGGCGACAAATGCTAAGTCCTTGGAAATGCTGATTAAGAAACCAGGCATTGAAATAATTTAATTTTAATGATGACATGATTTATTAATTTGCAAAGAACATGACTGACAAGCTTTGACGATGAATACTTGCACAGCCAGATGTGCTGTTCTCCCTTTGAAAGAGGAGGATTTTTGATACACGTGTGCGCGCGCACACACACAGACACAATTCATTAATCTGCACTCATTTCTGACAGTTGCTTGAAAGCTCAATGTCATATGGGGGACGGGGGAATCAGATCTTTGCTGACATCCCCCGTGTGCCGCTGGCCCTTATGAATGTGGGATCTCTCGGGAGGAACCACTGCGTTGTTTTGCTGCTGGTACCCGAATCACTGGGTACCACGTGGAAGACTGCTCCACTGATGAGATTATCATTCGCTGACGATTGAACCAAACCATGATTTAGTCTCCCGAAGGATCCTTTGGTTTTTAGATTTGTGGTTCCTAACATTATTTACCATTCTGCATGTCCTATGCCTGTAAGACTTGAGATCCAAGGGGCCTCAGGAAGCAGTGAGACCATCCCACTTGGCAACACAGCGGGTGGAGTGGGGTAGAACGCTGTAGGGTATGCGGAGCAGCTAAGCAACATCAGGTTCTGAGCTGGGTAAGTACGAACTCTGGCGTCCGGCCTCAGGAGTTATCTGCGTTCCACACAGAAGCCTCAGAGCTGTTCCAGAACACACAGCCCAGTCCCTCTGATACAAGGTGACTGCAGCTTGTGAAGAGATGTCTTTAGTGGGCTAAGCCTCCGCCTGCGGTGATGGCATCCCAAGTGGGCGCCGATTCGTGTCCCAGCTCTCTGCTAATGGCCTGGGAAAGCAATAGAAGATGGCCCAAGTGCATGGGGACCTAGTACCCACATGGGAGATCCGGAAGAAGCTCCTGAATCCAGGCTTCAGATTGGCCCAGCCCCCGCCGTTGAGGCCATCTGGGGAGTGAACCAGTGGATGGGAGACCTCTCTGTCTCTCAAATAAAAACAAAAAAACAAAGAAAACAAAAAAGAGATAATTTTCCCCCTAGCATTGGTTACCTGAGGACTGCTGTGTAACATGATTAAAATTGGACTGGGTGGGGTGAACTGCTTTGAGTTGCTTTTGCTTTCTGGTTTAAAGTGACATACTAAAGATACAGAGCGCTGGCCATCACAGCTTAGAAAAGTCGAGGTATTTTATCATGGCAAAGAGGTTTTGAGAGATCTGCTATAGAACTATACTGCCATGAACCTCTAAAACCTCCCAAAGTAGGCCGATCCTCCTTTCATTTCTGAAGCAGAAAAACAGGACTGAACATTAGAAAGACAGGCTGTCGATGACTGTTTCTAAAAACATACTCCACCGCCACTAGACAAGGTCAAAGTTGGGAAGTGGGGGCCAGTGCCCGGTGGGTGGGTTAAGCCACTGCTGGCAACGCCTGAGCCTGAGTGGCCGGCTGAGTCGCAGCTCCTTTGCTTCCAAGCCAGCTTTTTACTGACACCTTCCCCAAGAAGACAGCTGGTGATGGCCCAACACTTGGGTCCCTGCTGTCCTTATGGGAGCTGGCCCAGCCCCAGCGGTTATGGGCACCTGGGCAGTGAATTAGGGATAGAAGATTCTCTCTCTCCTTCTCTGTTGCTGTTAAAAAAAAAAAAAAAAAATGGAAAGCTGAAAGCCACACAAGTAGTTGAAAGGTAACAGTAACTGGAAACACCTGCAAGAAATTTCTCACTTTTATTAGGAAACAATGATTGCAAAATGCAAGATAAAAGCCAGATGTCTAAGGAGTTGCTTCTGAAGGTTTAAAAAAAAAAAAAAAAAAAAGGAGGCGGCAGCCGTGTATCAGAAACAATGGTGAAGACTCAATCCGTCTGGCAAAACATTTTATTCACAAAATCTCCTAGCACAGTAGTGACTTGTGACTGTAAGTAATCTGCAGACATTTTTACTGCACCCGAGGAGTAACCACCGCTACTCTGGGGCTCCTAGGAATCTTCTTTACATCTCAAAAGACACAAATCATTCCCTGCGCCCAAGCAGTCATTACCACGTTCCCCTTAAATAGGGGCCTTATTTCCTCTAAGTGCAGACCGGATTTTCTTTTTCCTCCTACCTCGGATGGCCCTGCAGTTGGCCTCACTGGATAAAAGCGAAGGGCTTCCGGTAGGATGGTTAGCAATTTTGGTAGCTCCAGCTCAGGGAAGGAGTCTCAGCAGGACAAGGAGACCAGACAAGGCAACAGCAGTCCGCAGGCAGAGGCACGGTAAAGTAATTGCGCCGGCCACGGTGGGGCGGTCACTCGGGAGGCTTACTTCACACACTTTTAAGGAAGCTTTCATGCTCTGACGGGCATCTCCTTGGACTTTCTTCCTGAGCAGCAAACCTGCAAGGTGCTAAATCTATAACGCCTTTGCCTCCTACCACTAGCCAATCAAGAGAGCAAAGACCCCGGCGGCATGGAGTTCTGGTACCCAGCCCAGTAACCCTCCATTCCTTCTCTTGCTTGCAAGCCTAGCAGGGTCTCCTCTCACTTGCTTTTGTTTTTTGTTTTTTTGTAAATTTCTTTGAAAGGCAGTTAGTGAATGAGGGCGAGAGCAAGAACGAGAGGGAGGATATCTTTCATCTGCTAGCTCACTCCCCAAATGGCAACAACAGCTGCAACTGGGCCAGGCCAAAGCCAGGAGCCAAGAGCTACAGCTGTGTCTCCCACGTGGGTACGGAGGCCCAAGCACTTCGCTGTCCCAGTTGCATTAGGAGACAGCTGCATTGCAAGTGGAGCAGCAGGGACACGAACTGGGGCCCGTATGGGATGCCAGCATCGCGGGCGGTGGCTTTACCTGCTACACCACGACGCCCACCCCATCCCTTGCTTTCTTGCCAACCACAACAGTGGGGACAGGTACCAGGAAACATTATCAGACAGTTTCTCAGAAAGTTGAGGGAAGACGAGATCTTGGTCAAGCATTTGTTTATTCATATAAGATAAATCAGACACTGTGCCAAGGGCTGGCAACCCAGAAAGGAGCAGGCTGGGAGCGCTGTCCCCTGCAGCCCCTGGAATGTGTGTTGTGAGCAGGCTGCAGGAGACAGAGCACAGAGAGGGGCGTCTCCACCGCCCCGCTGGGACCTTTATTTGCACACGGTGTTTGCACTCACTTTCAGAAGTCACATCCAGGATTCCATCACAGTTCTCTTCAGGACAAAGACCAACATGCTTTAGCTATCTGCTAAGGTCAAAATTACTCAGAATTCTATTTCGAGTCAAAGAGAAACAAAACACAGCAGATGTAGGGTCTTGGCGTCAGCTCTCTGCAACGTGGTTCTTCTCCAGGTGTATTTGTGTGCCTGCTGCGGTCATTGTCGCCAGCGGGCACAGGGCGGACTCGCCAGTTTAGAATTCTTTCTGACCTGATGTTTTTTTCCTTCCTGTCTCCACTCTCTCCATAAGTATCTGGCACCACGGAATGAAGCCAGCCAGAGGTAGGGTAAAAACAGCAAAATAAACAAACTCTTTTCCAAATACAGAGGGAAATGGCGGCACACACACGCAGCCCCCACTTGGAGCTGCACCGGAACAGGCAGCATTTCTTCCTGCTCACACGCACCCACTCACACACTGCCCCCTACTCTTACCCGCGGAGTTGCATGCTTCTAACAGCTTCTAACAGCAACGTTTATAAGAATTTGTAACAAAATACATGGTGCACAGATATAAATACCCTATAAAAATCTACAAAAACACCCAGGCGCCCCAAAGAACAGAGGCAGACACAGGTCCAAGGTTAATTACAGGTCCTGCTCAGGAACAAACGCAGGTGCAGGGAAGCCAATGGAAGGTCAGTAGGGGTGAGGAGGAGGGGGAGAAGGAAGTAAGGGCATCAGAGAGGAGAGGCGCTCAGGCCATGACCTAAGTTGGTCCTTTACAAGTATCCGGGAAACACAAGAGGTCTGTTATGGGTTGGCACCCACCAACTCAGCTTACAGCACTGACCGATTCCAAATGCTGCAGCATTTCCTCTGGCTAGCTGGGCGGTTAGAGGGAAACAGCTCTCTGAAATGTGTCCACATCTACAGAACTTGGTATCAGCTCAGCCAGTGCCTAACGGGTGTTCTGGCTGGATGAAAAATAAGCCTCCAAGAAAGAATTATTGGTTAAAAAAAATGAAAAATCACTTATAACGTGCCAACAGAATTTCAGTAAGGACACGTGGATTCAGACATCCGCCGTCTTCTCCTGCCACCTCCCCGGTCGCTTAGCCAAGCTGTTGAGCGCACACAGAGTGGCACGCGCCTTGCACTTCCTGGCCAGGGCCTGTCCTTTGCCATTTGATCTTTGCTCCGGAGAGGAGTGTTGGGCATCTCAACCACCACACTCTTTTGTAAGCAAACCCTCTGCTGTGTCTCTGCAGCACAAAGCACATGGTCCTGACCCAGGCAAAGAGGAGGAGCCACTCGTAGACATTTCTCCTGCAGGTGAGAATGGTCCTCTCACAAATGACTTATTTGCCCTTTGAAGAAAGGCCGAAAACAATTTCAACTTGCCTTTAAAAATCAGTTAGCCAAAGGGAATGTGGGCATGTGTGTGTGTGATAAATGGTTAAGAGAAATATAGTAACTGGTGCCAGGCATACTCCCTTCTATCTAGCCAGTGCCAGGGCCGCGCAGGCACCTGTCCCACAGCAGCTGGACTGTCTCTCCTGTCCACACATGTTCCCTCTGTTACAAAGTGCAGAGTCCCACTGACAAGCTCTAAATCCAGCACCTAAAGCCTCACGGGCCCAGTTAAATGCTGTCTGTGTGCATTCACCTGTCTCAAGCAAAAAACCCAATTCTCCGCTTTAACACGGAAAGGGTGACTGGAGCTGCACAGCAGTCAGCCAGCCGCTCGGGGCGGGCTCCTCTGTGACTGCTGCCTACAGGAGGGGGTTCCCGGGCTCCTCTGTGACCGCTGCCTATGGGAGGGGGTTCAGCACTTGGCATTCGCGACACCATGTCTGAGGAGGGACCCACACGTAGCTCAAAGTGAGGAGGTTTGATTCCAGGAGATGGACTCCCACCTATCCTGCATTCGAGGAGAGACCGCCAGTGGCCCTGGCGAGTGCTCAATGTCCAGGACAAACAGGCCTGCCAGCCCAGGGAGCGGGGTGCAGAAACAGCACCCACATTTTATGTAACAGAGACACACCTGCGGCAGGGCTGGGCCCCTCGCCTGCTGCCACAGCTTCTCAGCCCACAGAGCAAGGCTCCAGTCAGTGGGATACACACCCAGGCGACCCCCAGGCCACCCAGCAAGCATCCGGATCTCAGAACACAGCCTGCACCCGGCCGGAAACGCAAGGCCTTTGTCTGCAGGTGAACGCTAGGAGGCCTAGCTGCTTCCGGTGCTTCCGGGAGAGGATGCGCTTGGCTGAGGTTAACAAAGGTCTGGGGTAGGAGAAGAAAGGGGAGATGCGAGAACACTGACTCACTGACTTCCTGCACTGTGCTGACGGCATTCCGCTCCCAGGATCCCTCGCTGGGAGGAAACCAGGCCCCTGAAATGATCAACGAGAGAGAGAGAGAGAGAGAGAGAGAGAGAGAGAGGGAGGCAGGCAGGCAGGTAGGTTTCTCCTAACAGCAAACCCTTCCCCCAACACCCAGTGACCATATAAAGGACCTTAAACAAGAGAGTGCCTCTCGGCGTCCTTGGGATTTGACCTGATTGACACCCGCATGCCCGCCCACCGCACAGCCTAGCCTCTTCAGTAGCCTGACAGGTCAGGGCTCTGGGTGACAAAGTCTTCCAGAGCCTAACCCTCCCACGTGGCTGCCCTGGGAGCACCTGGTTGGGCCCACAGGGGGGCCGAGCAGGGCCAGCTGTCCCGGGGCCACGCTGCCCTCCCCACCTCAGCCCCAGGCTAAACAGCTGCACAGCAAGGCTGGGGGCCTCTCCCTGGCGATCCGTACACAACTCTCCTCTCCTCTGAGCGCTGTCCACTGCAGGACTCCCCGAGCACAAAAAGCAAGAGGCAGCTGATTTCTGCAGGGGAAATAAAGCAAATGGGGGCAGGGCAAAGAAGCCCCCCTGCTCGGCTCACAGGGACACCACTGCTCTCCAACACGTGGGAGGAGGCCGGGCCGGGGGCCTGGCGCTGCCGCTTGCTCGGGCACTCAGCTCGCCCCGCTGACCATGGTGTGTGCAGCGTGACTGACTGTGCGGGGCTGCGTCGGGAGAAAAAAGCCATGGATGACAATGACGATGATCATGACGGCAGGGAATCACCAGGATGGCAACGGAAGGCGTAGCTGTGTCCCAAGACTGTGCATATAAAACTAGTAGCTCTGGGGGTGTGGAAGTCCATAAACAAGTATAGCACTGAATTTTTTTTTTTTGTAAACAAAACAGACATAACCAATGAAAGGGCTGTCCAAAAGTACAGAACTGGCCTTTTTTTCTACTTTGGGATTCACGGATTTCTACTCAGAGTCTACGGATGTCGTCTGTACGGCCAGGAGACACTGAGGCGTCGTCTCCTGAGGACCTCTGGTCCCGTGCTGGGGGGAACGCGATGACCTGGTGGCCAGACCGTCACCAGGACCCCTCTCACGGCGACACTCCCGGGCAGACCTCAGTTCTCCTTGTGGCCTTTCTGGGGCTGACTCTCTGCGGCCCCCAGACTGTTCCACACCTCCGTGTACAGCAGGGTCCCGATGAAGACAAGCGAGGTGCCCAGCCAGTGCCAGGCGGTGAAGGGGTTCTGGAAGTACAAGATGGAAAAGATGAGGCTCACAAACTTGCGCAGAGTCACGACGAGTGTGACCGTGAGCGAGGCACATTCCGTCGTGAGGATGAACACGCCCCGGATGCACACGTACCTGGGGGGAAGGAGTTAAGGCGGCGGCTTGCACCTGGGAGATCAGGGCGGGAAGCCTGAGGGTCTGCGAGGGTGGCCCCGAGGCTCCTCCTCGGTGGACGTCCTGCAGGATTCCTGCTCTGCCACTCCACCCACAGAGCCCCACCCACCCACCCAAACCGGCCAGAGACCTCCTCTTATCCTGGAGTCTCTGAGCACTTGGCCCCCTCCCAGCTAACGACAGGTGCCACTCTCAGTAAGGCGGACCCCAGCCACCTTCGTCTGATCTGGTCCCCACCCTTCCACAGCTCTTCTTCCTACAAGGGACTCACAGCGCCCTGTGAGGTGGCTTCAAGGGTGGGGTTGATCTCAATCTGTTTCACTGTTTCAAAGCCTTAGCGACTTCTACAAGGTCGTTCAAAATAACCATTTAAAAAAAAAATCAAGCGTTGATGTGTTTGAGATTTCAGAACTTTGTGGCAGCCTGTGGTAACTGGAAATTATTGTAGGATACTGGAAAACTCCGGGTAGAAATCAGTTTGTAATCAGTCCGTGGGCTCCTACATATCTACCTGGGGGAGCTTCTCCCCATCGCTCCCCGTCTGACCGACTAGCACATCACTAGTATCTCTTCTGCCCTCCACGAGACAGCGCCCTTTCCTGCTCTAAGCACGTGAAAGCAAGGCAAACCCCACACTCATGGTAAGGAGAAAATAACACATCCCTCCGCCAAAGTCACGTGGAGGAGACACAAAGACAGCAGAAGAGTGCGAAGGATACTGAGTGATGACGTTCATGAGGAGGTAGAACCACATGATGGGCATGGTCACGCCGACGACTGGGATCTGATAGGATTCTGCGAGGGTTGAGAGGGGACAAGGTTATGTCACTTGCGGATAGCTTCACCATTCTTCCGAACAAGGCAGGGCAGCAGCCTGCACGTGAACAGGACAGCAACCCCCTCCTGCTCACAAACGGCTGTGGGTTAGGGATCGCGTTACTCGCCGCGGTTCCCGTCCACCACAGCCACAAGGGTCATGGCTATGTGCGGACAGACAGAGAGCTTCAGGACCGTCCTGCTGACCGCCGGAAAGGGTTCTGAGCAATTCAGAGCCTCACACACTTCCTTACGTGCTGTGAATCTTTATCACACACACACACACCCCTTTTTTTAATGCCAGATGGGAGAAGCAACACAGCAAAGGCAAACCGCTGTTGTAACTTCACAACTCACGTTCAGGTAGCAAACAAATATCTGCTGACTCCCTACCGTCATTCTCAAAATGCAGTTACCGTGGGATGAATGTGCAATGGAAAGCCTCGATAATTAAAAATTAAGTGGGGGCTGGCGCTGTGGTGCAGCAGGTTAAAGCCCTGGCCTGAAGCACTGGCATCCCATATGGGCGCCGGTTCGAGTCCCGGCTGATCTACTTCTGATCCAGCTCTCTGCTATGGCCTGGGAAAGCAGCAGAAGATGGCCCAAGTGCTTGGGCCCCTGAACCCATGTGGGAGACTCAGAGGAAGCTCCTGGCTCCTGGCTTTGGGTAGGCCCAGCTCCAGTCATTGTGGCCATCTGGGGAGGGAGCCAGCAGATGGAAGACCTCTCTCTCTCTCTCTCTCTGCCTCTGCCCCTCTGTAACTGTCTTCAAATAAATAAATAAATCTTAAAAAAAAAATTAGTGACCGGCGCTGTGGCATAGCAGGGTAAGCTGCCCTGTGTGATGCCACCATCCCATATGGGGAGTGGTTCCAATCCTGGCTACTCTACTTCCAATCCAGCTCCCTGTAAATGCCACCCGGGAAAGCAGAAGATGGCTCAAGTGCTTGGCCCCTGTACCCACGTGGGAGACCCGGAAGAAGCTCCTGGCTCCTGGCTTCAGCGTGACCCAGCCGTGGCAACTGAGGCCATGTGGGAAGTGAACCAGAAGAAGGGATATTTTTGTCTCTGTCTCTCCCTCTCTCTCTGTAACTCTGCCTTTCAAATACATAAAATAAATCTTTAAAAAAAATGTTTATTTGGTCCTTGTGTGTTCATCTGTCTTCCAACACACCACATCTATGACTAGATAATTGAGTTCTTTCGAGTTAACTGACAATCTATAGTGACTTTCTCCAACAGCCACTTTAAAAAGCCATCGCTTACACTGCAGATGCCTGAAGCCATTCTGCTTCCTCCTGCTGCCTCTCTCCTCTGCATCACTCTGCTCCCCTCCTGCTCTCTCCAAGGCAGCTGGAGTGCGTGTGTGGGCAGCTCTGCCTCTCACAGAGGGGTGGGGTGAGCAGCAGCAGTGGGAGCCGGACTGCAGCCCAACTCGGCCAAGCTCTGCTCTCCGCACTGGGCCACGACCATGGGCTTTCATTTTCTAAACGTCGCATACCCCACTCCAGTGCAAACCCCAATACCAAAGCAATACAGAAAATCTGAAGGTGCTTGCTTCCTCCATTTCTTTTTCTTTTTTTTGACAGGAAGAGTGGACAGTGAGAGAGAGAGACAGAGAGAAAGGTCTTCCTTTTGCCGTTGGTTCACCCTCCAATGGCCGCCACGGCTGGAGCGCTGCAGCCGGCGCACCGCGCTGATCCGATGGCAGGAGCCAGGTGCTTCTCCTGGTCTCCCATGGGGTGCAGGGCCCAAGCACTTGGGCCATCCTCCACTGCCTTCCAGGGCCACAGCAGAGAGCTGGCCTGGAAGAGGGGCAACCGGGAAAGAACCCAGTGCCCCGACCGGGACTAGAACCCGGTGTGCCGGCGCCGCTAGGTGGAGGATTAGCCTATTGAGCTGCGGCGCCGGCCTGCTTCCTCTATTTCAATAGCTGAGATGCACCTGTAAGAGGTTCTCCTCGCGCGACTGCTGACTAATGCCCTGTCCTCCTGGAAAGTGGAACGGGGACGGTTTCAAGAGGATTTGGGTAAGATCATGAAAACGTCCTGGTCAAGTCGAGTAAAACGGAGACTCTGCTTCAGAAACCGTCAGGCAGTTCTACCAAACGATCCCCAACTCACCAGACTTATTAAACAGAACCGCGTGGTCATAGATATCAGAGGCCAAGAAGATGAAGCCAGGAAGCGGAAGGGCATGCTGTGGGGAAAGAAAAACAGTTCATATACATTTAGATGCGAAAACATCGTGGAATAATCAGAACAGGCTTACAGTGACTCCGAGTGGTCAAAGTCATCTGGCAAGCGATATGAAGAGGCGCGAGGGAGACTGACGCCCCAGACGTCCAGTCCCTGCCCTGTGCAATCTGACAGCCACTGCAGACAGAGCACGAACTGGAGCCAGTGTCCTGTCCTCGGTGAAAAAGGCGGAGAAATTTAAACACGGATCATTCTGCTCGAAGGGATTCCCTACATTCTACTATTTTTGAGAAAAGTGAAGCCAACAAAATACACCCTAAAACGATCAAGAATGCAGCAGCCATTTCTAAGAGTTCAGAAAACTAGTGGTGAAAGACGGAGAACAATCCGAGGTCAGGGACAACGAAATGAAGACAGGAATAAAGAGATGGACGAGGAAGAGGAGACAGTGGGGGAGCCAAGACAAAGGGCCTGACCCCACTCCCCAAAGTAATAAGAGCCCACGGCTCACAGCCACGGAGCTCTACCACGTGGCACGCATTGTGCTGAACAAAACATGTGAACAAAGTAAAATGTTTAACGTTTTCAATTATCAGCCACAGACTCCAGCTCCAGTTAACTCTCACACTGCTTGCCTGCACCTTCAGTGCAAACAGTTGGCAGTGAAGAATCCCGGGTGGATACAGAGCACAGAGCTGACCCCCTCGCCCTGGCCTTGGGGCACTGGACTCGGGTGCATCTCAGTAGGAGAGGGGTGAGCGGGGAGAGAGGCGGGGCAGGCGGTGTCAGGTGCACATCTTCAAACAAAGAGGCTCAAACACACCTCATTCATACACCAAACTTTCTGTCAAATGCAGACGGCCCACCTGGCAGGCCTCTGCCTTTCCACCGCCGCCGCCGCCTCCCCCAACGATCGCTCCGCTGCCGGCCTGCACGCATGCGCCGCCCGTGGCATGTGGCTTCTGGGACTTGCTTTCAGTCATTTCTAGGTGTGCATGTTGGTCTTGGCCTGATTTCAGCTATAGGAACACTGTGGGCCAGGGTTCCTAGTCCCTGGGGGTTGCCCCTGGCTAAGGGACAGGTTCGACTCACACCAGCTGTTGTGACCATCCTGTGGGAGAACACTGGGCCCCGCGTGGACACTATCACTGTGTCCCAAAGCTGTGCACCAGCAATAAACGGACTTTCAGAAGGACAGCACGTGTCGCTTGGAGTAACCCGTTACAGCTTGGGGGTTTCCATCCTCCCATGTTCGGGGAGTTGCTTACGTTATAGAACAAGGCCTCCTTGGAGTGTTTCCCAAACTGTTTGTAGAGGGTCTCCTGAAATATACCCATCCTTGCTGACATCAAAAGGGCAAAAGTCAGTGCACCGATACCTGAAAAAATAAACACTGGGTTACAAGAACTAACACTTCCAGATGTTTTCTTAAAGAATACTTATTGCTTAAAGTTCTACAAATTTTGTATACTAATTATAGAACAGGTACAAAATATTAAAAACAAAATCAGTCACAATATTACCATCCAGTCCTCTATAATTTTGTACAACTCTATATACATATGTACATATTTTTTGCACTGGGACAGGATCAAATTATACACATAATATTATAACTCATTTTTCTCACCATTTTTCCCTTGAAGTCATTAAGGTTTTTTCAAAAGTGTGGGTTAATGATTGCTTATCACTCTATCAAGTGGCCGTACCATACGTCAGTGTCTTACAGTAAGAGAATCATTTCCAGTTATTTTATCATTAACATCAATGTATCCTGTACACAAATCTTTAAATAGGATGTTGATTATTTCCTTAGGATAAGCTTTCACAGATGCAATTACGGAGTGGAAAGGCTGCGGACATTTTAAAAACTCACCCCCCGGTACTTTTCTGGAAAAGCTGTGTCAGCTGATACCCTAAACAGTTCATACGGAGTGGCCCTCTTACTGCGCCCTTGGCTGCACTATGACCATCATTATCATCTTGCCAATGTGACAGACCAACAACGAAAAGGTTTTGTATTTTGCCTTCAATTTGCATTTCTTTTGTTAATGTACTAGTGAGGCTGAACCTAAAATTACTGAACAAAATTTTTCCCCATGAACTGTAGTTCACAGCCTTTGCAAATTTTTCTCATCACGCAAATCATTTTCCAAATAGCCCATAAAGACCTTCCTGTGCCAAGAAACAAGGAGGACACAGTTCTTTCACGGCTGTTTCTCTTTCGTTGGTCAGTCTCTGTCTGTTACCACTACCTCCAAAAGCCCCTGGAGAAAGGTTCCTATCTGGATGATGCAGCGGGTCAGCACATCTCTACAGGAGTTGTCTAATTCCACAGAGATACTTGTCTTTTCAGAAGTCCCCAGGAGATTCAGTCCAGTTGGGAACACTGCCATATGGAACAGCTAACCTAAGAAATCCAAGATTTTGAAATGGGTCCCTCGGAAATCGAGTCAGTCGCTCTCATGTGCATCATGAAGACACATCATGAAGAAACGGGCAACACTCCAAGCACCGCATTCTAAGAATGCGATGAGCGTGCAGACACACAGCTCCCTCTCCATGCCGGTGGCAACCAAGGAGAACGTGGGTCCGTGCTGCGGGACACACTGCCTTGACACTCGTTTTCCATTCCTTAGACGCCAAGCTACAGGGGTGTGTGATCCCATGTGCCCCCTCTTCCGTGGGTCATTTGTTTAGCAGCAGCTTTTGCCAAGAAACATGTCCCTTAGGAGAAGACTCGGCAAACACAGCGGCAGAGGCAATTAGCTTTACCGTAATTACTGTACTTGCCTAGTAACCACCATGCAAATGCCTGGAATCCATCATTCTCACTCACGCTGGACTGGTGGGAAGTCTAGGGAATAAGAAAATAGACTAGGTACAGAGACCAGAACTACAAGGAAGATGCCAAAATAGGAGGGAAATATTTATGCTATTCATTTCCCTCTCCTCTTCTCTTTCAGAGATTTGAATCCTTCTATTACATAATTTATTTTATTAATAAGTGCCTGGTAGCTGGCCCCCACGGCAAGTAGTAAACATAAATGATTTTTGAGCTGATTCTTACCACCTGCTTTGCTGACATGAATGTGCAAATAAAAATCCCCACGGACACCAGGGCAATGGAGGTGTATTTGAAAATACTGTACCTGCAAAAATAAGAATAAAAACACTTTAGGAAAACACAGATGCAAATGCGAATTTCCCGTGCTATTTATAGTCGGATGGTCCACGTCGGTATGTACACACACGAAGGAAGCCGGGTGCTGACTGCTTTCCAGACATCTCACCTTAGTGTTGTTTGCTCGTTTCCAACAGTTTACTGACCAACAGATGGCTTCTCAGAAAACAAAAACAGATAGAGACCAGACCCCACACTGCACTCTTCCCTCAAGAGGGGCCAGCGCTGCGGCATACTGGGTAGAGCTGCCGCCTGCAGTACAGGCATCCCCCACAGGGCGCTGATTTAATTCCCAGCTGCTCCACTTCTGATCCAGTTCCCTGCTAATGTGTCTGGGAAAGCAGCAGCAGATGGCCCAAGTGCACGGGCTCCTGCAACCATGTGAGAGACCAGGAAGAAGCTCCTGGTTTCGGATCAGCACAGCTTCTGGCTGTCTGGGGAGAGAACCAGCGGATAGAAGATCTGTCTCTCTCCCTCTCTCTCTTTCTCTGTAATCCTGCCTTTCAAATAAATGAATAATTTTTTTTTAAAGAGGCCAAATGAAAGGTTGACCCCATCTAGACTGAGATCATTTGTCACTTCTCCTATCTCTGGGGGGCCCATACCTGAGTCAAGAGACATCTATGCCACTCAAGAGATTATCAGAAAATGATCCCATTATCCATTCTCTGGGAAGGATATTTTGGTCCTAATCTCTGAATGACTTAAATGTTATTTCTAAATGCTGGCCTAGTTGGAAGAAATGCAGTTTCTAGAGCTATGAGCAATAGTCACAGTGGCGTGTCACATTAACTAAAATAGCACCATTAGTATCCCTCTCGGATTCCTGCTGATCAAGCAAAAGGCTCCTGGCAAAAATTAAAATAAATTAAACTCATAAGAAGAACCATCTGAGATTTCTATTTCTAAGATTTATTTATTTATTTGAAAGGTAGAGCGACACAGAGAGAGAAAGATAGAGCTTCATGTTCCATCCACTGGTTCATTCCCCAGATGATGACCACACTAGCTGGGGTTGGGCCAGGCTAAAGCCAGGAGCACAGAACTCCATCCAGGTCTCCCACGCAGGTGCAGGGGCCCCAGGACTTGGGCCATCTGCTGCTGCTTTCCCAGGTGCATTAGCAGGGAGCTGGATTGGAAGTGGAGCAGCTGGGACTTGAACTGGTGCTCATGTGGGATGTCAGCACTGCAGGTGGCGGCTTAACCCACCGGACCACACCACCAGTCCCACGTGTGAGCTTGTTACCCACGCCATTGTACTGTTCTGGTTACAGGAACTCCTAAAAGGCCAACAGGAGTATCTAAGAAGCTGAAAAAGAGACAATAGCTGTGAGCGCTCAGAGGACTGTGCAGGAGGAGAAGGCTGGGTGGGGCAGCAGAAACCACCAGGGGCAGACCCAGAAACAAAGAGACTTCAGTGTGGAAAGAGCAAGATGAGGAGGTTTGCAGTTCAGACCAAACAGTGAAGGAGCTGGGGAGGTGAATACAGATTTGCTCTCCGAATCCTGCAGGGAGCAACATACTATGAACTCTGGCTAACATAAGTCATTAGTTCACTCTTTTAGGTAACTTAGGGAAATTTGTAGCTCTATGTGTGATATGCACAGAAAAATCTAAAGGGGTTAAATGGATAGATTTAAGATGACAGACTCAAAAAAGTTCTTAAAGGAAACCAAGATTTTAAGAAAGGCCTCCAAATTTAAAAAAAAAACATTTATTTATTTGGTGGTGGGGAGGAAGGGGAGAGACAGACAGACAGACAGATCTCCTATCTGCTGGTTCACTCCTCAAATGCTCCCACTAGTCAGGGCTGGGCCAAAGCTGGAAACTGAAAACTCAAGCCAGGTCCACATGGGTGGCAAAACCCCAAGGACTTGAGCCATCCTCTGCTGCCCTCCAAGGTCTACAGTGACAGGACACTGGAGTCAGGAGCTAGAGGTGGGAATGGAACCCAGGCACTCCAGTGTGGGACACACGCATTGGAGTGGGCATCTTAACTGCTGGGCCGCACACCTACCCTGCCCCTGCCACTTTGAGGCAGTATCAGCAGAATACGATTCCTTTTATAACATGTTCTTTTGTATTCCTGTTATGACCCAAAATCAAAGGTTGGGAGGGATCCCAGGTGTGTCCCAAGGCGGAGCCTACGCTAACAAGCAGCTCAACAGTTACTTCAAACGTGACCATTACATATGCGTGCTTAAATGCAGATAACCTACAAGAAGTACCTTTTGGGAGACCACTGTTAGGAACAGTCGTTTTAATATCTCTGATGATTCTTCAATTCACTAAGCTGTTCTGATAAGCACCTCCTAGGCCAGCACTGTCCCACAGAACTTCTAGGACACTGGGAACTTTTGTCACCAGTCATTCGTGGCCAGTGAGACTGAGGACTAAATGTTTAATTTTATTTAAATTTAAATCAGTCACATATGGCTAGAGGCAACCATACCATATAGAAGTTCTACGTCAACCGGCTTTGTAGGTTAGTATGATATTAAAGATGCATTCACTAACAACAAGAGCTAACCAGCTTACACAGAGAGGGCGCCGCGCCAAAGCTACAGACAGGCCTTCTTACCTGGTCAACTGCCTGGGAAAAGTCCACCACTGGGGATCATTGTTAGAGAAAGAACTAAGGAAAAAGGTAGATTGCCAAGAGCAACCTCACCAGCACCGTGGGAAAAGGACTCCAGGTGACTAGTTTATGGATGTGGCTTAGAACATCATCCTCACATGCAGAATTCAAGGCGGTGTTTACCTTTTCTTCAGAATGATAATTCCTAGAATCATATTGGCAATCAGAGAGCCCTGTGAAGGGAGACAACCGTGCATTAGGGAAAGAAAGTTCCAGAGGGATACGAACATGGACAAAGGCAACAGCAAGAAGGCGCCTGGCAGGAACAGCTCATAAGGTTCAGTCGTTCTTATCACGGCAAAAAGCACAGCCCCTATATATCGAACACGTGAAATAATAAACAACTTAAGAAGGACAGTGAGCAGATGGTCACCCTCAATAACTGCTTACAGCCGACACTACAACTAGAAGGAATAAACCATCGTACACTTCTTTTTGTCAAGGTTCTCGGCTGTCTTGTTTGTAAGAACTTCTAATAAGTGTCTCCACAGCCCCAGTTTCAATACAAGAAGTCATGCAGGGCTGTCTTTCTTCCCTGGAAAGGTGTCAATCAACCAACACATGTTTACTACAAGTCTACTAGGAGTTCAGTGCTTTGAAGGTCACCAGAATTATAATCAGTTCTGGAAGGTCCCTTCGGAAATAGCACATCCAGTCTCACAAAAACCTCAGACTACAGGAAATGTTATGGCTCCAACGATCGCCCATTCTGCCTTCTTCTATAATCCCAAGTTCATCCCCCTGCAGGGGTGGTTGCTTTTCAGGGAACATTCTGTTCTCGTTTAGATCCACGTTGCACACACATCTTCCACCACACCGCAGCCAAAGAGGAAAGCCTCACTGCTCTGGGAGAAACCCTATCTTCATCAAGAATGTCCTTTTATTAACTCAAGTATCTGCTTTGTGCACAAGAAGTAAATGTCATTTTATGGAAGACCGAAACGAGAAGTGGCAAGAAACATGTTAAATCACATTCGCAGCAAGCATGAATATAAAATCAACCAGAGGAAAGAAACTGAAGGTAAACTGTCTCGGGGACATTTTCATCGTCTCTTCATCAGTCGCCCACGGAATCTGAGACGAATCCAAGGAAATCATCCCCTTTCAGGTTCTCCCTTCTCTGCCTCCTGCCTTCTCAGAGGAAAGTCGTGCCTGCTCCGCACGTGGCCGCCCATCCTGCTTCCCTAGACTTCTACTTCTGCCACATGTTCAGACTTTCCACTGAATGGAGGAGCACGCAGCACTTACAGATCTAAACACCATATGCAGGGGCATGGCAATGTTGAGGTTGAGGGCATAGTTGTTGACCACGCTGACGGTGAAGAACATGGTCACCATGATGGTGTAGTATCTGAAATGCAGACAGCAGCACATCACACAGAAGCCACAACTCCAAGAAAATCCAGCAGGGAGGCAACAGCTGATTTAAAACATATTAACCTTATTTAACATTAACCTTATTCCTGCTGCATTAAAGGACTGTATCATTATTATTGCATAAAGCCAAATACCGAGTATGTAGAAACATGGTAAAAGTGTGAATTGTAGAATTTTTAAAAGGAAATTGAACTTTAATAATTTTCAAGTATATGCAGCAACTCAAAACCAGGCTTTAACATTATGTTACCTAATAGGTATCGGTGGTTATTTTTGCCTAAGTGCACAGATGATTTTATTTTTATATTAATTCTTTGTATATCATTTTCAAATCCCACCAAAGAACTTGAAAATGGCAAATTCAAATATTTCCTCTTTGCGCAGGTTTATGCTATTTATTTTTACTATTTCTAAAGAAAAGATTTGCCATGTCAGAGCTTACTTTCAGTGTAGCAAATGTTAAAATTTTCCCATATTTTGAACCAGTGGCTTCCAAATTAATGAGGACACACAGGACCTACAACCTTATATTAAATAATTGAGGACCCTGTTTTTTGAGAATTTAGGGGTCTTAAAAATAATTAAAAGAAACATGTAAAACATCCAGTAACTGTAATAACCTGGAAAGATACAGGGGCCAATACAAATGGACAATTATGAAAAGATAAATAAGTAATTTCATATTTGTATGTCTCCATTTGATCTTGAAAATACTTAAGATGCCTTTTAAAACATACTAGGTTAAACCATTCAAAATCATCATTTTCTTTTTTTTTTTGGTAGATCAAAAAGGGCTGAATATCAGCAATTTCAAGATTTAATCTAATATATTCAATGTGAGAAAAAATAGTATTAAAAATAAATGGCCTGGCTGGCGCCACAGCTCACTAGGCTAATCCTCCGCCTGCAGCGCCGGCACCCCGGGTTCTAGTCCCGGTCAGGGCGCCAGTTCTGTCCCGGTTGCCCCTCTTCCAGGCCAGCCCTCTGCTGTGGCCAGGGAGTGCAGTGGAGGATGGCCCAAGTGCTTGGGCCCTGCACCCCATGGGAGACCAGGAGAAGCACCTGGCTCCTGCCATCAGATCGGTGCAGCGCGCCCACCACAGCAACCATTTGGGGGGTGAACCAACGGAAGGAAGACCTTTCTCTCTGTCTCTCTAACTCTGCCTGTCAAAAATACATAAATAAATAAATGGCCCAAGAATGCAGGGCCAGGGTATGTACGTGGTTCCATGTCCATCAGGGAATGTTGTTGCTTGAGCAGTAATCCCAATCGTTTTACACTTTTGCACATCTGCCAGCTACAGCAACACTGAGAACCCCAGCAATGCAGACCCATCACGACAGCAGTCCAGCAAGGCTGAAGTAGCAGAGTGCCAAGTCAGAGGAGCCTGACAAGGCTGAACCAGCAGAGTGCCAAGTCAGAGGAGCCTGACGAGGAGCGCAGAACACAGCGTTGCACACAGGCAAAGTCGTGGGCGTGCAAAACCGCCCCGACGGCTTCCTCACCACTCACAGGTAACTTGCTACTGGGGGCTGACGAGGCTTCCTGCCAAGTGTTCTCTGTTGTCTTGAGGAGAGGCATTTGGAGATCAAGGTCTTTCAGGAGAATTAACTCAACTATTCCACATTGCTGCCTACAGCGCACTGCCTGGACACTGCTTATGGGGACGAATGATATGCACGAGATTTTGATTAAGGTTTCACACACGGACAATAACAATAGCCATCCCAGACAGGACAGTATGGCTGGTAGGCAGGATCATGGGTAGCCTCGAAGAACAAGCTGCCTGGTTTGGTCTTCATGGCCAACAACATGGTAACTCCCAGGAGGAGGGTGACGCGCTATAAGGTGGAAACAGACGTGGAGGGATGAAAGAGGGGGCAGCCAGCTAGGTACAGCCATAAAAGTTACGGTGACAGTGAACGTGCCCCTGCCCTGTGCAAGTGACTGGGGGCATGGGCGGTGACAGAGCAGGGAGGCAGGAAAGCCCAGAGGACTCAGAGATGCGGGGCTTCCACTGGGACATAATCGCTGATCTACAGAACAGCAGGTTTTAGGCAGCTACCATAACCAATGAAAAGCAAACAAGAAAGTATTTAGAATGCTTGGCATCACCCTGGGAAATAGACTTCCAATCCAGCTCTGTGCTGTGGCCTGGGAAAGCAGTGGAAGATGGCCCAAGTCCTTGGGCCCCTGCACCCACGTGGGAGACCTGGAAGCTGCTCCAGGCTGCCGGCTTCGCATTGGCCCAGCTCCAGCCGTTGCAGCCATTTGGGGAGTGAACCAGCCGATGGAAAACCTCTCTCTCTCTGCCTCTCTGTAATTATGCCTTTCAAATAATTTTTTTTTTTTAAAGTATAGCATTAATAACAAGGTCGAGGCTGACTTTCCAAAGCAGGCTATTTAGGAATGCTGCACAAAGACCCCAGCAGGGATGAAGCTTCATGTTAGTACTTGATCTGTTCACTCCAGAGTCTCACTCTCTGGGCGGGCACCATGGCACAGTGGGTTTACCTGCCTCTCTGCCCCCGGACAACTGCATCACATATCCCAGTGCCTGAGATCGAGGCTGGCTCCTCCACTTCCAACCCAGCTTCCTGCTAATGCACCTAGGAGGCAGCAACTGCTGGCCCAAGTACTTTTATCTCCAGTCTCTCCCAACAAAAATGCTGAATTTCAATATCAATACACTGTTTGTTTATTTATTTATTTATTTATTTAACAGGCAGAGTGGACAGTGAGAGAGAGAGACAGAGAGAAAGGTCTTCCTTTGCCGTTGGTTCACCCTCCAGTGGCGGCCGTGGCTGGCACGCTGCGGCTGGCGCACCATGCTAATCCAAAGGCAGGAGCCAGGTGCTTCTCCTCGTCTCCCATGGGGTGCAGGGCCCAAGTACTTGGCCCATCCTCCACTGCACTCCCTGGCCACAGCAGAGAGCTGGCCTGGAAGAGGGGCAACCGGGACAGAATCCGGCGCCCCGACCGGGACTAGAACCCGGTGTGCCGGCGCCGCAAGGCGGAGGATTAGCCTAGTGAGCCGCGGTGCCGGCCTCAATACATTGTTTATGAGAAGAACCCCCCATTCTCTATTTGGCCCCATGAAGTATAAATATCTGTACAGCAAATTTGGACTCATAGGTGGAAGTCGACAATTTTTTAAAAATATATTTTTAAAAATTTATTTAAAAGGCAGAGTTACAGAGAGGGACAGACAGAGGTCTTCCATCTGCTGGTTCATTTCCAAAATGGCCACCACAGCCAGGGCTGGGCCAGGCTGAAGCTATGCACCCGGGTCTCCCACGTGGGTGCAGGTGTCCAACCACTTGGGCCATCCTCTGCTGCTTCCCCAAACACATTAGCAGGGAGCTAGATCAGAAGTGGAGCAGCCAGGTCTTGAACTAGCGCCTACATGGGATGCCGCCGTCACAGACGGAGGCTTAACCTACTACGCCACAATGCTGGCCTCGATGTCAACAATTTTGATTTGGCCTTTCATTTTCTTTTGAGGTGAAATTCAAAAATAGTGAACAACGCAGTGGCACTCAGTATACTCACAATGCTATGTAACACTCATTCATCACTCTTAGCATACTTGATAATATTATCAACACAGGAAAGCATCCAAGACTATTAAAAAGTTGTGGTCACACCAGGTCTTATGTCTGATCCTATCCGCTCTCTCTCTGAGAGTACTTCAAACTGTCAGTGGGAAATGGAATTAAAAGATACATTCGTGTTTGATGGGAAAAAAACAAATGAAACCTACACATACAGGGGTCTTCAAAAACTTCATGGAAAATGTATACTATGAAAACAGAGTTGAAACCCAATGTTTAGTGAGACTTCAGTGTGTCATACCGTAGTGGGATAGCTGGTGGCTTCCTTCCCAAATCAGCTTCAAAGAGGAAGCCTTCCACAGCAATAAATAAAAACTGTGCAAACGTCACAATGTTCCCACATCCTGGATGCTTCCTGTATAGGGAGGAACAAAAAGAAGACATTAGGCACAAAAGCTGACCTGAAGGGCACTCACATGGGTGACATCCGTGGTTCCAGCCAAAGAGGAGTAGGGATCTCTACCTTGGTGTTCCTAGCCCACGGATCTCGTGGATTCGGCACCGCACCCCAAGAGAGGATGTCAGGCTGTCCTTCATCACTCTTCACTAGGTGTGGCAGGTCACTCTGACATACTCCTGCCTCCTCAAGTGCGATCAAGCCACCTTAGTAAGTGGAAGGAAACTGTCATATATTCTTACTGGGAATCTCACTTAACAAAAAGCCCTCAGTCAGGGTTCTAGTTAGCATAGCCCGAGGACAAACGTGCTAAGGTCTTCAAGAGTGTCTTTATATCCCTCCTGAATAGGGATCAACTAGAATGCTGTCGAACAAAGAAATGTGTGTTGACTACATGGACACTGCTTTAGACAGGTGCCCTCAAAGGGGCAAAAACTGGTTCTTGAGGTGGGTGGAAAATCTTGATCTCATGTACAAGTATAAAACAGATATGCATTTCTCTGCATAAACCAGTGTGCACTATATCCATGGAGGGGTGTAAAAAAATGTCTAGGGCTGGGCATTGTCGCACAGTGGATTACGCTGCTGCTTGGGATGCCAACATCCCGTATCTGAGTGCTTGAGATCAACTCCTGCCTCCACTTGCAATCTGGTTTCCTGCTAAAGTGCACCTTGGGAGGAAGCAGCTGATAGCTCAAGTAGCTGGGCTCCTACCACTTACGTGGGAGACCCCCATGGAGTTCCTGGATCCTGGCTCTGGCCTGGTACAGCCGTGGCTGTTATAGGCATTTGGGGAGGGAACGAGTGGATGGGGATCTCTCTCTCTCTACCTTTCAATTAAACAAACTTTAAAAAAAAAAAAAAAAGAAAAAGAAAAACATGGCTACAAAGGGATCAGGGAGGCAACCATGGAAAAATATGGAGAAACATTCGTCTCCACAGCCATTCCTGCGGTGTCTCATACACATTAGGAACTTTTACGCTCATTGACCTGAACGGATTCTCTCTCGTCATCTAGGTAACAGTTGGAGAAATCTTCCAGTGAGTGTTAGGAGCAAGTTTACAGAGTAGAAGATGTCCTGCTGACATCCCTCTTGGGGCGCCTGGTAAACACGAGGCCCCCAAGGTGTGTGAGCGTCTCTTAAGCTTGCACTTTACCCCACTCGGCTCAGTCACTCCAAGAGGCATATAGAGAAAGCAGTTATCCTTGTTCACCTGACCCTCCCAGATTACCTATAATATCTCTCTTCCGACCTTCATTGTTTGTATTTTCAAGACATTTATTTACCTGAAGCTAGTGAAGAGAGAGATTTAGCTATATTATTACACATTAGCACAACGCTATGTATCAAAATCAACGCCATTCTCTATTGGTGGTATCGCTATTAAGCAGCAATGCCGAGATAAACAAATTCCTAAATACGCTATTCAGGCATAGAAGTCGACAACGGCAGGCGCCCACCAGTGTTGCAGTTAGGGTTCACCCTCGGAGGCAGAACTGCTGCCTGCGAAGGTTTTCTTACATACCACTGTTCTAGATGCAATTTCTCTGTTGGCCCTTAAGTTCAAGGGACAAGGCTAACCTTTGCAGGAATCCATAAAGAATCATGGGAGGTGTTTACCTCATTCAAAGAGCTGGTGTAAATCACTAGCCTAAATACGAGTGACCTGAGGAGGGACTTGCGTTCTGGACGGTTCCTCGCACAGTGCTTTGTCAACTCTGGCCAGAAGGCTCTTTGAAAAAAGACTCATTTGCTCAGCTGAGCTGGGGCCCTGGAATCTGCACTTTGAAGAGTTCCCCGCTTGACTGCAATGTGCAGCCAAGTTGAGAACTACCAGCCTTGGTCTGGGGAAGTGGCTGGGAGTGTACGTGGATGATGCGCAGGCAACCCTCGTGCTGCCTCAGGGCTGAGAATCAACGTGTCTCCCCATGGTCACAAGTACTCCCGGTGACATACAAGGTCACTTATCATGCAGCAGAAGTCAATCAACTCATCTCTTTTTTTTCTTTAAAATGGGATCAGTATTAGTAGTTATCTTAATGGTGCATTGTAGGATAAATCAGTCCCTAGAAAGTATTTAATACAGTGCCTGCCACAGAGTGAAAAAAGCAAACTGTAGTACCACATGATGACCAGTATTTAGGATTTTGCCATATTGAAAGGTCTTCAATCTCAGTATAATCACACTTGCAAAAGACATTCACTCAGATTGGCCATTTTCCCCCTCATTTATAAAAGCGGTATATGACTGTTGTAGTGAGGATTCCATGAGAAAATACACATGAAACGCAAAGCATAAGACTTAGCCCTAGAGACCCAAAAGTTCCCTTGTTTTGCCTTCCATTTTCTCTCTACCAAAAGCTTAGGCCAATTCAATGAAAGAACAATGACTGAGAATGTTTCATGAACAAAGTTAGGCGCCAGTTTGGAGGGAGCTTCCAACATGAACAAGATCACATCCCTGCCCTTGGAGAGATCACAACAGGATGAGGGAGCAAGCTTGAGACATGAGCCAGTAAGAGCCCAGCACCCTCACACCCTCATGGGATGGTCAGGGGCCAGATGCGCCCCATTCGTTTGTATGCCGCACACTCTGGTTTCCAGTGAATGGATGCGGATGCCTGACTTTAAGCAAAGGTGATGCGGATGATTAACATTTGCACACAAGATAAAAAGCAATCATTTATTTCCAAAAAACAATTGATGTATTCTCTATAGGACTTCTAAAAAGTTTTTTTCTGTTTTATCTTTTTTTATGGCGGTAGGTTTTATTACACCTCTATCATTGCTAAAGACACGAAGGCTGTGTCTTTAGCACTCAGTGAGGTCAGTCTCCCAGGGCCTCATGATAAAAAAATGATGTCTGCGCTTGCTCTTATCATTACTTTTACAATACAGTGGCTTTTAGTATGGGTTTTTAGTTGTGCAAATATCACCACTACAGAATCTTACAGCATCCCCGAAAGAAATCCCATGTCCACTGGGAGCCACCCTCTTATTTGCTCCCCGAAGGACATGTTAACAACTCTCCTCTCCCATCTCTTACTTCTACAGGATTTTAGACTCCCAGCTTTTTTTTTTTTTTACTTTAATCAGCCTTTAAGCATTTTAAGAACACATACCATTGTATAGCTTTATTTATTTTAATTTAAAAGATCCATTTGAGAACTTCAGAGTAAAAGCTTGCGCTGTCACCCTTCCATTTCTTTAAATAAAGTTTGCGTTGAACTTTACTCCTCAGAAGTTAATCAATGACTGCAAATAGTTCCACTTTGAATTGTCCTTGGGAAGAATTTTGCTTTCTTAATCCTCAAACACAAACTTTGAAGAGAATAAGTTGGGCAGATAGTTTATGGCTTTTCTTTTTCTAGAGAGAGAAAACTTTACCTAATTCACCATCACACACTTGACTGCAAAATCAACGGGAAAAAGAAAATGTCCCAGACGGTTTCCCTGACGTGAGACGGACACGCCACGTCATCAGCTAACGTGTTACACATGGGGTAGCGTGAGCTCCCCGAAGGAGAGGATCACACACTCATCCAAGCCTACGAATCTGCTCAGTAGGCTGCACTGTGTTTCACACATTTCCAATGGCTCCACATAACAATTCAGAAAGAAAAACCTAAATTTCTTTTTCAAGTTGGAGGAATGGGAGAAAATACACTAATCTTCCTACAACCCAGTCACTTTAGCTTTTATATTTAGTGCACTAAATATAACTGATTAAGGCACCTACTGGTTTTTAGGAAGCTGAATTAAAAAACACAGCTTCTGCTGTGAAAACTGACGGGTTTTTCAACAGCGATGTCCCAAGTTAAAGGCAAAATTCCACGGCCGTCTCGAGAAAGAGCCTTAAGGGCCATCTGGCCTACCCAGTTCTCATGGGACTGATCTGGAACAGAGGCTGTGACCTGCCCATGCAACTTTGGGAAGGGCTGCTGGCGTTATCACTGATTATATTAATAAATTAACCTCACTGTTTTATGGCAATCCATTATTGTATGCAAAAACGCAGATTTACAAAAAAAAAAAAAAGGTACACATGGGATGATGACCTATTAAAACAATTATCCAAAACCTGTAAACTGAAGCGCCCATCATGACAGGAAACATTTCGTAAAGTCATGTTTATCCAGACTTTGCAGGCTCAGCTCATAAAACGAGATCTGCCTACAGTGAAGCAACATCGTAAGACAGGCCAACTACCCTTGGTGTGCTTTAGGCTTTACCCGTGCATCTCATTTAATCCTTCACAACTACAGGGCTCACAGACCCAGCACACCTCAGACTCAGCTGCGTTCACCTAATTCATCCAAGAGCTCACAAATCAGAAACGGGGCACGTCGGCTGGCAGCATAGCCTACTGTCAGAAAGCCTTTGGCAAGATTTAATGCAATGGTGTATTCAACACAGAAATTACACTGTTCTTCTGTGACCTTCATTTCCACAGCTGGCCTGATTATATCATCTTATTATATGTTAAAATCAATTTCCAAATGGCCCTCCTGTGACATATATCGGACTGACAGCCAGTAGATTTTTTCATTTTCATTTCTCTCGTCCCCTGCTCTTAAGAGAAGTAACAGATCTTTATCAACACTCTCTGCCTTACAAAACAGCAGACTCTGTAACAGCAAAAATTAACCTTATACAGGTCACCTTAAGTGAACCGGTTGCTTGGGAGTGACTTAATCAATGGTATCAGAGTGACTTAATCAATGGTATTAGATAAGATAAAATGGATTTCTAGGAGGCACCCCGTGAAGACCTGGGTGATCAGAATCGACGGGCCGCTCACGTGCAAACCTAACAGGTGGTTGGGAAAAGGTACTGGAGTGAGGAGGTGGACATCCTGGGTTCCGGTTCTGACTCCGGCACTTACAGGTGCTAAAAGGCCCCCCAGCTTCTTTGGCCAACAGAGACAGTTCTCGATTTATCTAGATGATTCTCGACTTTGATGGTCAATGGAGATCAGGTAAGATGCAGCAACCCGGGCCGGACAGCACCACGGACGCTGCTCAGGGAGCCGAGACGGGGCTAGCCAAGACTTTAATCCCCCATCTGAGCCTGCCGGTCCTCAGCCTGCGGTCCCTTCTGTGACCGCTTCTAGCCACTGGCCTCTACACAACTCTAATGGCCAGCCTCCTCCACGAAGCCCACCTGGTTTCCCTTTTGGGAAAGGGTCAGAAAGTAGCACCTCAAAAATGCATGCTTCCCAAATTAGCCTGTAACACCCTAAAACCAGAAATGCTCTCTCGGGTCACCTGGACTGATTCCCTACACATCTACATCTTTGACAAGGGGGTATGTCTGGGCAAAGTAGTCACGACCCTAACGCCAATTTTAAAATAACGTTTTGCAGTTTTGCAGCCCACTGTAATACAAAATAACTTTTTTTTTTTTTTTTTTGGCGGCGCGTCCCAATCAGACGTCTTGGCTCAAGAGAAAAGTCCAGGGACGAGCTCGGACGGGAAGTGGGCAGGCTCCCCGGGTGCCGTCAGCCCCCTTGGCCTTGGCCCCAGCCCCACAGGACCCCCCCGGACTCCAGTCCCCGGGGATGGCCGGCTTCGGGGGCGACAGTAACTGAGGGCCCCGGCCGTCCGCCCCCAGCACAGGGGGGGCTCCTCGCCTCCGGCACGGGAACGGGACGCGTCACTCACCGGGCCAAGAGCTCGAGGAACACCACGTTGCTGCAGCAGCCCGCGAACACCAGGCTCACGGCCAAGGCCGGGTGCATGGCCGCTGCGCGGGCAGGGGGCGAGCGCGCCTAAGACGCGCCGCCTAATCCTCGGCCCCAGGAAGCCGGCCTGAGGCCCCCGCCGCTGCACAGAGCATCGGCAACGTTCCTGAGCGCCGCTCTCCCCGGGGGCCGCCACGACGCTGCCGGCCGGGGAGCCGTAGTTCGCAGTCAGCCCGGCCCCATTCATCCCAGGGGGTGTCTAAGGCCAAGCTAGACTACATGTCCCAGGATGCCGCGCGCGCACGTCTGTCCGTGACGTGACCTCGTTGCCCGGCAGCTCCGCGGCCGCCGAGAGGGCGAGGTGCCCGGCATGCCTCACGCGACCGGCGACCGCGGGGCCTGCTGGGAAGTGAGGGCCGGCTTTCGGTGTTCGCGCGAGACCGAACGTGTTCGGTGAGTTCCGTACGGGGCTCCGGGCGTCTGCGCTGCTGTCTCGGAGCGAGCGTGATGGAGTCAAGGTGTGAGGTGAACCTGGACCGGTTTAGCCGACCTCCCCGAGTCCCGGTCTACCGTAGATGCCTGCTCCGTGGCTGCTGTGCGTGGTAAAACACTCGATACGTGGAGCGCCTCCTCGCTGACAAGTTCACAGTTACCGGTGGGGCGCCCTGCACACGGGTGCACCTGCTGGGGGCTGCAGGGTTAGGGCGTTCTTTAGTTAAGTGTGGCGGGGTCGCAGCCCCGTGCCGGGTGCTTCCAGACGCTGAACTGAGCCGATTCGGGCTTTCCACCCATGCTAATTCTTGTTCCCACTCTGCTTAAAGGAGAATGCATTAGAATTACTTAGGGTTACTGTTTAAAATACAGGATTCTCACTCAAACCCAGGGATTCTGATCCAGCTGGTCTGACCCGGGGCCCACAAGCCCCAGATGTTTCGGATATAGTCTCCAGGCCCCAAACCGCGGGGGAAAAAATTTCTATAAAAAGTATGTTGTGGGTCCTGAGAAAGATTTGGGACTGCTCACGTCTCCCAGGAAATAAGCCCAACACAGCGTTTTGGTCGCGTTCCAAAGCCCTGCTTAGCTCTGCGTTCGCGTTCTCTGCTGTTGGATGCAATTGCTACTTAAATGTGTGAAAGTGCTGAGCTGCAGAGCTAACGGGGAGTGGAAAGGAAGTGGAGACGTGTTGAGTCCGGCCGAAAGCGGCCTTGCAAAGTGGACAGGGCGTGCACGCGTATTTTACAGATGCAGACCAGGGGTGTCCTGTGCACGGAGCAGGTGCCTCCCAACATGGGTTGATTCTCTGAATTAGGGTTGCACTGAGTGCCCGGGAGTGGAAGTGCTCCGAGAATCCCATGGGAAGATAGGCAGTGGGCCTCGTCCCCACCTGACGGCTGGGCTGGCGGGGGCGTCTTTGACAGAAGGGCTGGGACCTCGGCCGTTTGCCAGGCTCTCCCAGTGACTTGACAGCAGCGAAGGCTGAGCACCGCTAACACAAAGCAAGGGAGTAGCTTAGAGGGCTGCGATTAGGGACAGCCCCTATAGGTCACCTGTGAGACTGTGCCTTAGCCCAGCTAAGTCAGCGTCCCTGGGGAGGGGCCCAGGAGATTCCAGTGTGCTGCCTCTGCTGAACTCTCTGGTTCTCAGTTCTGACTGCGCAGCAGAGCAACACAGGGAGTTTTATTTAAAAACAGAAGCAGGCCCACTGCAGACCAGCTATGGAGCAGACTGTCTGGGGGTGAGGCTCCAGCCGTGCCGCCCTCGCCACCTCCGCTGTGTGGGTGTATCCCTGCCCCCAGGAAAGCCGAGCAGAACACCTTCTTCTCTGATTTCGCTGGAGGGGATTCCGCATCGCAAAGACCTTCCTTCCCCCCTAGAGTTTAGTAGCGCTTAACGGGTGCGTGACATCTATAAACACCAAAACATACCAAGTGACTGAACCAAGACAAGGCCTGAGTGCTGCCCGCGTAGGTTCTGTTCCCTCCTCCCATCCTCCATGTTTGCTTCGACCTGCCGCAGTGCACACTGATTTAATGTGCGTATTACTTACGTGGGATCTGGTTACAATGCGCATCCTGGTTTACAGGCCTGGAGTGTGGCCCCAGCGTCTGCATTTCTAGCAAGTGCCCAGGGGGTGCTGACGCCATCTGTGGCCCACCCTTTAAAGAACACAGCCTATAATACCGTTCATTCCAGACACCTCACTACCTTTTTTTTTTTAAGATTGGTTTATTTTTTTGAAAGGCAGAGTTAGAAAGAGGAAGAGACAGGGAGAGAGAGAGAGAGAGCTTCCACCACTGGTCCCACCCCCACCCCCGAATGGCCACAACAGCTGGAGCTGGGCGAATCCAAAGCCAGGAGTTTCTTGAGGATCTCCCATCTGGGTGCTGGGGCCAAGCTCTTGGGCCATCTTCTGCTGCTTTCCCAGGTGCATGAGCTGGGAGCAGGATCGGGAGTGGAGCAGCTGGGAATCGAACCGGCGCCCACATGGGCCGCCGGTGCCGCCGGTGGTGGCTTTACCCACTGCGCCACAGCACCAGCCCCACCTCGCTACCTTTCCCTCCCAGTCAGCATACGTATGCTTACGCCTGTCCTTTCCCTCACCCCCTGTCATGCTCAGTGAAATGCACTTAGCTTTCTTCTACCTTCACTGTACTAGCAGACATCTCTGATTAGTAACCTTTAGTCACAGTCTGATTTTTAAGTTGCCCATCAGCTTCTTCAAATACTCTAATCAAGGTCAGATTATTGAAAGTAGCCTTATTAGGGTAGTTGTTTGGCCTGGTGGTTAAGACAGTGATTGGAGCACACGTGTACCCATCTGGGTTTGATACCTGCCTCTGGGTCCTGATGCCAGCTTCCTGCTAATGTGTACCCCAGGAATCAGTGATGGCTCAAGTCATTGGTTCCTGCCACTCGTGTGGGAGACTAGATTGACTTCCCAGCTCAGCTGTGGCCAGTACAGGATTTTTTTGGGGTTGTGAACCTGTCGATAGGGGTGTGCTTTCTCATCTGTCTCTCAAAGAATTAAATAAAAATAAGGAAATCATTCTCACGGAGAGCCCTAATGCCTTCTTGAGAGTCAAAGCCATATATATATGGCTATATATATATATATATATCACAGAAGAGCCTACAGTGGCTCCTGGTGAGCAAAGCCCCACCCTTCCTGACACTCCCTGGGCCTCTGATGATGAGACACGAGTCTCCTCCTCCCACTTCTCCTTTCTGGGCTGTTCCTCCTCTGCACACCGAGCTCTCCTTTCGAAGTTCCCTCATTTGGAGCTTCCTCGTCCTGACCACTTCCTGCCGGGGACTCGCCGCCCATCCAGCCTGCTTCACCGTGGGTAACTGTGATCTCGTGGGTGTGTGCACACGGACAGCCCATATCTCCACATCGTCAACATCAGTAACGAGCATTTCCTTAGCTACAACCTCTTCTAGGCCGCACTTCTGTTAATGGCCTCTTCTCTTTGGGCAAAAACTTGGAAGGTTTTCAGTCTTCCTCTCTTTCCTGCCACGCATTGCTTGCTCTTTATATCCTATCAGTTCCACCTTAACCTCTTGGAAGGTTCCAGGCTGTCTTTTTCCATTTCCCATTGATACCCACTTAGGCAAGGGCCTCCTAACCTCCTGGTACCTCCAGCCTCTGCCTTCTTTAACCCATTCTCCATGCTGTCTCCAAGCAGTTTTTCCAAAGACGAACCCCAAATCTGCAGGCCCCACTGCCATTCTGAGATGTCTGTTCCAGTTATCTCATGCTGTGTAACACACCACCCCCAAATGTAGTGACCTAAGGCAAACCAAGACCCCCAAGCTGCCTTTTTTCTGTCTCCCAGTTCTATGTTTTTCCAAGCTCAGCTCGGCTGGGGTCTGTCATGCAGTTTTGTGCCCTGGGGCTGGAGCCACCTGAGGCTTGGCCAGGCTGACATCCATGATGGCTGGGACGGCTGTCCTCCTGTGGTCCCTCTCGTCCTGTGCCTTGTCACCGTGTGGTAGACTCAGGATAGCTGGACTTCTTAACTACTGATGGGCTTTCTCTGGAACAGGTATTCTAAGATTATAGAAGATGCAGTGGCCTCAGAAGTCACACAGTGACACGGGCACCACAAAGGGCTGGCCCAGATCCACTGGGGAGGGGACTAGGAAGGACCTCCGTGGTGGGGAGGTGAGGTGCAGCTGTAGCATCGGCTGCACAGTGTTTGCCGGCTCCTTACTGTGTAAAACCCACATTCAGCAGAAGACACACAGCACATTCCTAACCAAGCCTCAGCTTCCCTCTCCTTCGCCTCCTGCCATTCCTCCCAGTGCTGCCTGCACCCCAGACACATTAAATGCCGTTCTCTGAGTGGACAGTGACTTTCAAAATTCCTGTCCGTGAACATGCTGTTCTGAGTGCTTGGAATACCCTTTTATCTCGGGCCAACTTCTTTTTATCCTTGTATAGCAGTGGGGCACAGAGGGAAGTAGCTATCATTACACTGTGGAGGGGGAGGGGTCCGTGGTCAGATGTTGCCTTTCTGTGTGTAACTTCAGCGTCCCATTCCTGACTGCCATCTCTGGATGTCCAGCCTTCTGTCCACTAATCCTTTAACCATGTCGCACTACAGTTGTTTGTTTTCATGTGGGTCTTGCCTGCTCGACTGCCCATTGTGGACAGAAACTACGCACAACTAATTAGCTAGATCTTCCACATCGTCCACGGTGACCAATACAGAGTATGTACATGTATTCCATGTTGAATGAATGAATGAGTGAGCTTGACTTAGTCAAATAATCGACACCTCATAAATATGTATTATTTTTTAGTCTAATTTAGTGTAAACATGACGGGGCTGCCATTGTGGTTTGGAAGGGTAAGCCATCGCCTGCAACACCGGCATCCCATATGGGTGCTGGCTGGAGTCCCAGCTACTCCCCTCCTGATCCAGCTCCCTGCTAATGGCCTGGGAAAGCAGTAGAAAATGGCCCACGTGCTTGGGCCCCTGCACGCATGTGGGAGACCAGGAAGAAACTCCTGGCTCCTGGCTCCGGCCTGGCCTTGTCCTGGCAGTTAGGGCCACTGGGGGAGTGAACCAGGATTGGAAGACCACTCTCTCTCTCTGTGTCTCTCCCTCTCCCTCTCTGTAACTCTGCTTTTCAAATAAATAAGTAAATTTAAAAAAAGAAAAGTAAACATGATAAATGTACTGCTCAATGAATTTGCATGCACAGTGATATAAAGTCAACACTCAGGTCAGGAGGCAGAGTATTACCAGCATTCTAGAAGCACTTTGTGCCCCTTTCACTGAACCCCTCCAAGAGTAACTACTATTCTGAGGTTCCAATACCAGAGATGAATTTTGCACATTTTTGGACTTAACACAAATGGAATCATACGATGTATTTTCTTCTGTTTTTGCTTCTTTCATTCATCAATATATTTGTCAGTTCATCCACGTTGTTGTGTATGTCTGTAGTTCATTTATTATTACTCTGTGGCATTCTCTTGTATGAATATATTACATTCATTATTCTCTTGGTGAGCATTTTGGCTTTTATGAATAGTGTGACTATAAAAGATCTGTTCATGTCTTGGTGAACACAGTGAGATATGGT